CCGTCAGCCCAAAGATTGATTTTGTGCCAATCTGCGCTCCCACCGCCAGCCCTAGGCAACCTCTGATCTGCTTTCTGGCTCTGTAGTTTTGTCTTCTCTAGAAGTTTCATGTAAATAAAGCCACACCCTATGTAATCTTACGTAGTACGGCGTCTTTCAGTTAGCACCATATTTCTGAGGGTCCTCCATTTTGCAGAATACATCAGTACTTCACACCGACATCGTGTTCATACTATTACTGAGTCATCTTTCGTTGTATGCATATTCCACATTTTGTTCATCCTTCATCAGCTCATGAACATTTGGGTTGTTTACAGTTTGGGGCTGTCATGAAAAATCGTTGCCGTGAACTTTCGATACAAGTCTTCGTATGAACACATGCTTTAATGTCTCTGCGGTGTATAACCTAAGAATAGAATTGCAGAGTCATCTGGTGAGTTTATGTTACGATGTTTGAGAATCTGGGGCATCTGAGTGGCTCAGTCAGTTAAGTGTCCGACTCTTGATTTCAGCTCAGGTGACGATGATCTTGACCTGTGGGATCGAGCCCTGTGTCCGGCTCTATGCTGGGCATGGAGCCTGCTTGAAATTCTCTCTCCCCCTCCCATCGCCCCACTCCCCGACTAGTACTTTAAACAAACAAACAACCAAACAGCCATTTTAAAAAAGATGTTTGGGGGCGCCTGGGTGGCTCAGTCAACTGAGTGTCCGACTTCGGCTCAGGTCATGATGTCGTGGTTCGTGATTTCGAGCCCCACATCGGGCTCTGTGCTGCCAGGCCTGGAGCCTGCTTCCGATTCTGTGTCTCCCTCTCTCTCTGCTCTTCCCTTGCTTGCATTCTCTCTTTCTCTCTCTCTCAATAAACATTAACAAAACGTAATCCGTGTCATGTAACTTCTTTGTTGAAAACCGTTCAGCGATTCCGTGTTCCCCTCCCTCTCCCACACCCCCCCATCCCCAGCCTGACTCCCCATCATCCTTCTTCCCTCCCCTCAGATGTCTCATCTTCAAACTAAGTCAAGAGCCTCTCATGTGATACTTTGTCAGGGCACCGGCTACCATCATAATGAAATACTTAAATGAGTAGTTTAAATCTTTGCGTCCTGTGCCCTCCGACAGCCCCTGTGAAGGGGCCACAGCTACGGGAGCCATCTTGTTGCCTCATGGCGGCCTCAGCATTTCACCAGCACCAGGCACACACAGGGCTCCCCGAACACATTTGCTGAATGAAAAATCGAAATAAAGAGGCCCCGCTTCCCTGAGGAGTGAGGTCCCTGAAAGGCCACGTTGGTCCCCAGCCAGGGGATGACAGCAGTGTGAACGGACAGGATGGTCAGCCATGATGGGAGCCGCAAAGAGGAGCCGAGCAGTGGAAAACAAGAGGGCGTGTCTGAGAGGAACTCGTACCAGGAGCCTGACCTAGAGACCGGCCTCCGACGGGGGAGAATTTGCACGCTGGGAATTCCTTCCTGAGGAATTTAGCTCTTGAACTGGGCGTCGACGAGGCATCACCACAGTTGAGGTACAGAGAAAGCTCCACTGTGGGAGAGTCTGTGGGAAAGGCCTCCGTGACTCGGTCTCGAAAGGAGAAATTCCCTCTTTCCACACCCCAGGTTATGGCACGAAAAGCCAACGGGCCACTGGCCTCTGAGGGTGTGCCGGAAGTTTCTCTCAACCATTTTCTCTCTCAGCCCCATTTCCTTCCTTGTCTCTCTCTTCAGTTAGAGTGAAAACATGTTCGTGGGCGTCTCTATCTGTTTGAAGGAACCTAATGTTAATCAACGTTTGGATACATTGAACTCTTTGAAATATCACACACACAAAAAATCTTAACGTCCCTACATGTCCCCAAGTGAGATTCTCCCATATTACATGTTTCCTGTAGGTTGGTGGCCTTGGACTGATGAGGTATTTGAACGGGAATCCCTTTTATTTCTGCAAAGCTGTGTGACTTCTGATGACAGAAGAGAGAAAGAAGGCTGACCAAGAGTGCAAGGTGACCTGGAGAGGGTCAACAGTGAGCCAGATCTTCCACATGCCACACTGGGAATCCCCAAGGGCCATGGGGAAGAGGAACAAGGTACCCAGGACTGGGTCTTGAGCTTTGGCAAAGTTTTAAGACCCTCTAGCAGATGTGGTTCAGAGACTCAGCTAGTAAACAGTGCCTCTTCAGCCATGGGCATTGGTTTCTTCATTCTTACATGTACAGGAGAGAGAGAGTCCCTAGAGACGACACCAGGCTATATGGTTACCTATTATTGGGGAGGGGGGAGGAGGTCAGGATCAGAGGCAACAGTTCTACCAGGTAATTTCAAACAATTGTTTTTATTTTGAAACAATCTCCAGTTTATACGAAAGCTGCAGGTATGGTAAAAACAAAAACAAAAACAAAACAAACAAAAAAACCCAAAGAGCAAAACAACTTTTTTTTTCCTGAGCCATTTGAGAATAAGTTGCTGAGGGGCGCCTGGGTGGCTCAGTCGGTTGAGTGTCTGACTTCGGCTCAGGTCAGGATCTCATAGTCTGTGGGTTTGAACCCTGTGTAGGACTCGCTGACAGTTGCTCAGAGCCGGGAGCCTGCTTCAGATTCTGTGCCCCCCCCACCCCCTCTCCAGCTTGTGCAAATGCTCTCTTTCTCTCTCTCAGAAATAAATAAATAAACTTAAAAAAAAATAGAGAATAAGTTGCTGATATGATGCATCCGTCATCCCTGGTGGATCCCTTACAACGGGGACCTTCTCTGACATAGTCACGATACAACCAGTAAAACCAGAAATTGACATTAGATACGTTTCTACCATTCACATTTCTCCAAGGGCCCCAACAATGTCCTTCCTAGAAATGAAAGGATCCAGTTCATAATCACGTGGCTGTTAAGTTGTTTTTGGTCTCCTTCCATCTGGAACAGCCCCAAGAGCCTCCTCCACCCTGGAGGACATGGAGATTACAGGCCGTAAACCTAGAGAGTGTCTTTCAACTTGGGTGCCTCTGACGTTTCCTCACGATTAGATTTGGGTTCTAGAATCTCGGGCAGGACCATCACAGCAGTGATCGAGGATCTTCTCACATCGCATCCTGTCAGGTGGCACGTGATTTTGATTTGTCGCATTGATGATGATGTCATCAAAGCTAATCGCTTTGTTAGGGTGTTGTCTGCCAAGGTTCTCCTCTGTAAAATTGCTCTTTATCCCTTTGTAATGAGTGAGTGTTTTGTAGGGAGGTCCTTTGAGACTATGGAAGATGCCCTATGCCATCTCAGATTTTCAATGTATTCATTTTTAACGTATAGATGCATAGTTTCCCACTTTATTATTTGTTAGTTTCTTAAACTTTACTTTTTTTGGAACCGTGTGAATGTATTAACTTTATTTATTATTTTTTTATGTTTTATTTATTTTTGAGACAGAGAGAGACAGAGCATGAGTGAGGGAGGGGCAGACAGAATCTGAAGCAGGCTCCAGGCTCTGATTTGTCAGTACAGAGCCCAACGTGGGGCTCAAACCCACAAACTGTGAGATCATGACCTGAGGTGAAGTTGGACACTTAACCTTGCCGGGTGCCCCTGTATTAACTATTTTAAAAGGGAACTTTTTATTTCTTTAAGTAATTTCTTTTTTTTTTTAATGTTTACATATTTATTTTGAGAGAGAGAGAGCAAGCAGGGGAGAGGCAGAGAGAGAGAGAGAGAGGGAGAGAAAGAATCCCAAGCAGGCTCTGCACTGATAGCCCAGGGCCCGACTCAGGGCTCGATCCCACAAACTGAACCATGAGATCATGACCTGAGCTGAAATCAAGAGTCAGACGCTTAGCAGACCGAGCCACCCAGGTACCTTGAAAGGGAACTATTTTTTTTCTAATGTTTATTTGAGAGAGAGAGAGGGGGGGGGGGGGGGGGGGGGGGCGCAAAGAGAGAGGGAGACATAGAATCCAAAACAGGCTCCAGGCTCTGAGCCGTCAGCACAGAGCCTGATGCAGGGCTTGAACCCATGAACCGTGAGATCATAACCTGAGCCAAAGTCAGATGCTTAACCAACTGAGCCCCCCAGGCACCCTTAAAAGGGAACTTTTTAAAAGAAAGGATCTGAAGTCTAAACCCTCCACTGATCACATGCCTTCATCGAATCCATCATTAATCCTTTGACCAGGCTTCGGGGGTGTGCCACCCAGGGTGCCTGGGCTTGCGTGTGCGGTTGCGGGTGGGTGTCATCAACTCTAGTGGGTCCCAGGGCTGAGTGGGGAGGCGGAGGGGGTCTAGGACTGGGAAATAAGGGATGTAGTGGAATAGAAATGAATGCCAACAAGTCAAGCAACAGTCCCCCGGGCCGGAGGGTGCTGGGCCCAGGAGGTCCCTGCCTGCTGGTGTTTCGAGTTGCATGCTGGGTCACCGTCTGTAAAGTAGGGACCCAAGTGGGGCCAGCTGACCCCGACTGGCTGAGTGGGCTGTTCAGAAGGCAGAGGATCAGCTCCTGGGAAAGCCAGACAATGTCTTCAAAACAAAACCACGTCTCGGTAAAAGACTTCCTCTGACAGAATGACCTGGTGAATTTCCTAGTCATGCTTCCCAGAGGTGGCCATGAGCCCAGCGTTTGACCTTGGCAGAGATGCTGGTGCGGAGAAAGTCATAGGCTGCCGGGCTCTTTGGGAGACCCCGTTTTTTAAACGCAGGAAGTATCTGCCACATTATGTGAATTATGCTTAATGCCACTTACTGTATGCCTCTCTCCCCGGCTTTTCTCTCTACCCCACCTCCCGGCCACAAATCCACGCAGTCTGCTTATCGTCCCTGCGTGCACGGATATTTTAGGAAACTGCGTGCTGGCGGCTGCCCCTCGTCTGACCAGAGCACACCTCTGCAGACAGACACATTCTGCAGATTTCTAACGAAGCAAATATGTTGGTTTTGGCGCGGGTTGGCCCCCACTTATCAGACTATATTGCTTGGTTGACCAGGAGAAAGTATCTAGGGAAAACACATTTTATGATTTTAATTGTTATTATAGGTACTCTCGGAAAAAGAAATCTGTGACCTGCAATATATTTCCGTGAAAGAACTCACATCTGGTTCCGATTAGCTCTGGAGTCTGTTGGCCGACTTAGCACAGGAGCGTTTTCTGGAAGTCAGCTCTGTGTCTCTGGGATTTTGTTTTCACCCACAGGCACAGTGCACACCTTGTTCCAACACAAAGGCATTAACTGTGAACATGACCCTCAAAACATGGCGGCGCGAACCAGAGAGAGACCTTACAGCGTCAGAACCCCGTCCCGGAGGACTGAGCCAGCCAAGTCTGAAGGCAAGGGCAGAACGGATGGAGAGTTCCAGAAGAGCTCCACAGACTCTTTGACATTTGAACCTTCATTCACAAGAAAGACCAAGAGCAGCTTTGATGAAGACAGCGGCGCCCCTCAGCCTCGTTCTGGGAAAGAGGACAGACTCAAAGCCCTGGGATGTGTTTGCTTTCGTCATGAGCAAGATGGCGGGATCTATAACGGGCATCTCCTGGGATGGTTTGATCTCTTCTCTCGAGATGATAAGAGCAATTATAAACACATTGGTTCATCTCGCTTTTCTTATGGGCAAGACGGCAGGGTTAAGGCTGGGTTGGAAGAACTAGAGAGCTTCGAGCTCCAATTTCTCCCTCTCAACCCACGTTGGGAGCCTTGCACATTGGGATCCTGGTGGAAAAATAGCATCCTGCCCTCACTCTCGGGACACGAGTGGCTCTTGCTTGGGGTGGGTGACTTCCCCTCTCTCCATCTATGTGGCCCTTAGTCCCCCAATCACAGCCTTCAGAAAGCCTTTCATGCATTGCCCCATGCAAGTCTCCAGAAGCCATTGAACGACTAGTCACTTCTTGTCGCAAGTAGGTACCTACTTAGATACAGGGATGAATGGGTGCCTCTTGGGGGAAATATATGAATAATAATATTTCAAATAGCCAACAGTGGTGGAGTGCTTACTGTGTGCATGACCTTGCTCTAAGTGTGTCCCAAGGGTTAACTCACTTAATCCTTACCACAGCCCCATAGAGGAGGCACCATGATGATCCCATTTCACAGGCAAGGAAACAGTTACAAAGACTTGACTGAGGTCACTCAGCTGATTCTAGAGCAGTCATCAGCGTCATTGTAATAATTCACTTATATTTTACGGTAACATCCATTGTGAGGTTTGCAGATGACACAAAACAAAGCATTGAAAATTCCATGAGAATTTTCGGCTCCTGGTCAGTTTTGGCTCTCTCCAACCTCGGTGTCCTGATCATTCTAACCATGCGTCATCCCTCAACAATGTGCCCTTCTTTCCAAGCCTCAGCCACCCACCCTTATTCAGGACTGCCTCTGTCTGCCCTGAAATGTTGTAATGGCCTCTTAACTGGTTCCTGGCTTTCTGTGGCTTCTGTACTCCAATCCAGGTATCGCTTCTCTGCCAGATGAATGAGTATAGCTCTGGCCTGGCCCTGGCCAGCTCACAGCCCACCGACATCTGTGTTCGAGGCCTTCCACGGCACATCCCAGCCAAGTTTCCCAGTTATGCTCTTTGACTCCATACGTTCTCTTGAGTGAGGACCTTGAGCCACAATACACTGATAGGTTATGGGAATTTGAAGTGGAAAGGTCACAGTACCTGTAAACAGATGTACAATCATAATCATAGGAATGTTTAAAACACAGCAGGAGATGAAGGACCTCCATCTGTCCGTGGGCATCAGAGAGGGCTTCACAGACAGGGAGCTTTCAGCTGGAAGAGTGAGCCGGAGTCCTGAGTGGATCAGGGAGCAAGGTCCAGGTGGCAGACACAGTGCATAGTGACAGGGAGCCGAGCATGAACCTGTTTATGGAAGGGTGAGCCGCTAAGTCTAGTGGGAGCATAGAGTGACAGGAGATGGACAGAGTTGAGAACACAGGCGCCAGATAAGGGCTCTTCGTGATTGGATGGGTGTAAGTCCAACTGCGAGGGGCGCCTGGGTGGCTCAGTCGATTGGGCGTCCGACTTCGGCTCAGGTCATGATCTCACAGATCACGGGTTCGAGCCCCACGTCAGGCTCTGTGCTGACAGCCAGCTCAGAGCCCGGAGCCTGTTTCAGATTCTGTGTCTCCCTCTCTTTCTGACCCTCCCCTGCTCATGCTGTCTCTCTCTCTCCGAAATAAATAAATAAATAAATATATATATATATGGCTATGGGCAATTTTTAAGTTTATTTATTTATTTTTAAGTGATCGCTACACCCAACGTGGGGCTTGAAGTCACAACCTGTAGATTAAGGGTCAGTTGCACATTCCGCAACTGAGCCAGCCAGGTGCCCCTACTATGGGCGTTATTGAAGAGGGAGTAGGGAAGCAGGCACTTTCCTACAGTTATGTCCGAGTGTGAATGAATGCAACCTTTCTGGAAAGTAGTTTAACAATACAGATCAAATTACTCATTCTTGGGGTGCCTGGGTGGCTCCGTCAGTTAAGTCGGTTTGACTTCGGCTCAGGTCATGATCTCACAGTTCGGGAGTTCGAGCCCTGCATCGGGCTCTGTGCTGACAGCTCAGAGCCTGGAGCCTGCTTTGGACTCTGTGTCTCCCTCTCTCTCTGTCCCTCTTCTACTCATATTCTCTCTCTCTCTCTCTCTCTCTCTCCCCCTCTCTCTCAAATAAATAAACATTTAAAAAATTCAGATTACTCATTCTTGGGTCAAATTTCAAGTACCCTTATATCCCCCAAGTTTATTTTACTAGGAAACCCACAAATTAAGAGCCCCAAATGGCCTCTGTGAGTGTGTGCGTGTGTGTGTGCGTGCAGTGAATTTTTACGTAATTGAATCAATTATTTCCAGATGGCCATTACTTAGGCTCTGTGAAGGCCATAGTCTAGATCCCGTCGTGGCATACTTGGTGGCGCTCCTGTGGCCAAGGGGAGCCGTGGAAAAGTGAGATGTGTTCCAAGAGCTCAAGGAAATAATCATGGCCGCCATTTGCTGGGCGCTCAGGGGGTGCCCAGCACTGGACACACGGCATCTCGTGTAAGACTTCGTGAACCAGACACTATTATGCCCATTTTCCAGATGGGAAACAGCCCAGATAGTTTCAGCGCTATTCCCAGGCAGCCAGAAAGCCAGGGTCGAACGCCAGGTCTGTGGCTCCTAGCCATGTCCCTCGATCTGGTAAGGACTCCAGGGCCCTGGGCAGCGTTGAGGCCCCCGTGGGGGAAGCCCACTCAGGGAAGACCCCGCAGAGCAGCTCTGACCCTGGGCTCCCCTCATCGGGAGCAGAGCGTCACCAGCAAAGGCAGGCGGACAGTTCCTGGAGCCGCAGCAGGAAGTCCAGTGATCTACGGATCTAGATCTCCGCTCTCCCCCTCCTGAGACCCGAAATAAAGGAAACTGGTGTCGATGTGCGTGGGGAGGAGCTGGGTTTCAACTCACTTGAAAAGACTCTAACTTGCTGAGGCTGAGCCTTGTAGCGCGCTCAGAAAAGGCATGTGGGGAATTGAGTGTCAGACTTTTCCATCTGCTCTCCGGCGGGGCCCTGCCAAGTGACCACGGAATGCCGTGTGTGTGCCCAGCCTTGCCGCGCCTCCTCCAGCCCTGCAGCTGGGGTGGGTGGGGGTGAGCTCCTCGGGGAGGGAGAGCTCCGGGCTGCCCGCTCCCCCTTCCCCTTGCAGCATAGTTAGAGCCTGAGATAGCTGTGTGCTCAGAAGGAAGTTGCTGGGTGAGCAGAGCCAGATACCGTGTGGTCCCCATCAACACGCAGGAAGCGAGCTGGGTCAGGGCTGCAGGCAGAACTGGGTCTCCAGCAAGGAAGATGGTGGCCAGGGTGTCCCCCTGGGGTGGCTGGACCTCCCGAAAGAGCAGGAAGGAGGCTGGGAATCTAGACAGAAAGACAGTCTCCCCTGGACCGGGAGGGTGGAACGGGGCCAGTTTGCTGGGATGGATAGAGGGGAGCGTACAGTCAGATTTTTCTTTAAAAACTAAACAAACATGGCGCCTGGGGGGTCCGTCGGCTGAGCATCTGACTTCGGCTCAGGTCATGATCTCACGGTTCATGGGTTCAAGCCCCGCATCGGGCTTTGTGCTGACAGCTCGGAGCCTGGAGCTGCTTCGGATCCTGTGTCTCCTTCTTTCTCTCTGACCCTCCCTCCTTGTGTTCTGTCTCTCCCTGTCTCAAAAGTAAATAAATCAACTTAAAATAAAATAAAATAACAAACCTGCATCTTTTTTCCTCGAGGAAAGGAATATTTTGCTTCTGTGTCTGTTTTAAAAGCAGTTCGAAAAAGCAGCTGTGTGGGTCCAGACGATCACTTCAGCTCTGTTGAACCTCCTATCTGTGCGATGGGGAACAAAACGAGAGGATGTTCTGTTATGATCCCTTTTATTTATATATTTTTTAAAAATTTTAAACGTTTTATTTATTTTTGAGGCAGAGAGAGACAGAGCACGAGCTGGGGAGGGGCAGAGAGAGAGGGAGACACAGAATCCAAAGCAGGTTCAGGCTCCGAGCTGTCAGCACAGAACCTGACGTGGGGCTCGAACTCACAAACTGTAGAGATCATGACCTGAGCCGAAGTCGGACACTCAACCGACTGAGCCACCGAGGCGCCCCTTCTAGCGACTTTCAAATATACCATACAATGTGATTGACCACAGTCCCGCCGTAGGTGACAGACCCAGAATGTGTTTATTTACGTTACAGCTGGAAGCCTGTACCTTCTGACGCCTTCGCCCCATCCCTCCCACCTCCAACTCTGGCAACCCCAAATCTGACCTCTGTTCCTATGAGTTTGCTGAGGTTTCCTAGATTCCGCATATAAATGAAGTCATGCGGTGTTCCCCTCCCCCGCCTCTCTCTTTCTCTCTCTTTCTCTCTCTTTCTCTCTCTTGGTCTGACTTAGTTCACTGGAATGTGCGCTTTAGTCAGCACCCTGAGGAACCTTCCCTCAAGAGAATTCAGGAATTGCTGTAGGGGAGGGGATGTCTCTAAACTCCCCCAAGCGCCTGGGAGGCTCAGTCGGCTGAGTGTCCAACTTTGGCTCAGGTCATGCATGATCTCATGATCCTTGGGTTCGAGCCCCGTGTCAGGCTCTGTGCTGACAGCTGAGAGCCTGGAGCCTGCTTCAGATTCTGTATCTCCCTCTCTCTCTGCCCCTCCCCTGCTCATGCTGTCTCTCTTTCTCTCTCAGAAATAAATAAAACATTAAAAAAAAATGTAAACTCCCCCTGCCCTATTTAGGAGAAAGGAACAGAGGAGGGGAGCCTGGGATCCGGGGCCTTCAAGGGTTCTGCGGTGTCAGGGACGGGAGCCTGCCATCTTGGTGGGCCATTCCACCCCCTGTGGCGTCTCCAGCCTCGGGGTTCCGAGTCTCCCTGGGTAACTGGCCCACACATCCGGGCACCCAGAAAGGGTAGCTGGTGATGGTTTGAGAAACAGGCGTCCTGGCTCGTCTCTGCCGCTGATCTTGACCCAGGGCTTGACTCCCCTGAGCCCGTTTCTTTACTGCTGAAGAAATCGCTAGGCTCGCTGACTGTAATATTTACAGTAATCAGCAAATA